AGTTCTGGATATTCAGGATCGAAGGTATTGGTTAAGGGACAAGCCTTTAGCAAAATTCCTTCTTTCTACTGATTTACATCAATCTGGTAGATTAGACATTCCTGTCTATGCAGTAGAAAAGAAAAGATTGCCTCCCTTTCATCAAACTTTTGTCTCTGTTAAGACGCCACCGGAAATAAGTGATCGAAAGTGGGAAGCGACTACAACATGTATTGGTACACGTTTATCGACAGCTAACAGTATTGTTACTGCTGATAAAAATATAACCAGCGTGATGGTTGCAAATCTGACCCCACGATGGACTCACATCCGTTGTGGACAAAAGCTAACGTATTTTGATCCATTTTCCTCTGCTTCTAGTGCACAAAAACCTAAAGAAGTCGATGATACATTTGCAAATATTTCACAGGAGTCACCGAAGCCTGAATTAAAAGAAGGATATAAGTCATCTTCCTACTCTATTGCAGACAAAAAATTAGATGCTTATATTGATAAGCTCAGAAAGACGCTTCAACAACAAGATCCATCGTATTCACTCATTCAAAATTCGAAAGCAAAAATTAAATTTGATACAGATGTTGGAGAAGGAGATTCTGGTTCGTTATTCTCGCTTTCTGCTCTTTCTGTTTTTAAGAATCAAAGTACAGATGAAAGGCCAGAAACTTTCCCTAATGTATCAGTATATCCTTTAGTGAAGAGGACAAATTTCGCAGATTTTGAACCAGTCGATTCTCAACTTTCAGCTGTAAGGGCCAAAGAACGATTAGAGCCAATCACTAAAACAAGAGATACTACACATAATCCTGGTGATTGGCTCTCAAAACTCGATTTAAAATCAGCTGAGCTTTCCGTAAATCAGCACAATCAACTAAGGCAATTGCTACATCAATATTCAGACATTTTCTCTTCAAAACCTGGCCGTACTAACGTAGTAAAACATCATATTGATGTTGGTGATTCTAGACCGATCAAACAGGGTCCTTACCGATTATTAAACCCTGAAAGAAAGGCAGAATGCACTAAACAGACGGCCGAAATGTTGAATAATGATGTTGCCGAGCCTAGTTTCGGACCGTGGGCCAGTCCTGTAACTCTTGTCCCTACAAAGGACGGAACACTTCGTTTCTGCATTGATTTTCGCAAACTTAACGAAGTCACAGTGAAAGACACGTATCCGATTCCCAGAATCGATGATACACTCGATGCCTTAAAAGGTGCGAAATATTTCAGCACCTTAGATCTCTCATCAGGGTTTTGGCAAAAACAGCTTTTGTCACACATGAAGATATCTTTCAATTTAATGTGATGCCATTTGGGCTGACTAATGCATCAGCGACTTTCCAGCGTTTCATGGATCTTGTCCTTCGAGGTTTGAAATGGAGCTGTTGCATGGTCTACCTTGATGATGAGATAATATATTCACCAACCTTTGAACAACATCTTAAAGACATAGATGATGTTCTAAAACGCTTTAAAACCATCAAAATGTTTCTTTTGCCATCAAGAACTTAAATATTTAGGCAACATTGTAAGCGCGCAAGGAATTAGACCTGACCCGGAAAAGTTAGAGGCTGTAAGATCATTTCCTATTCCTAGTAAAACAAAGGATGTCCGTGCTTTTCTAGGACTAACTGGCTATTACAGACGTTTTATTAAAAATTATGCAGAAGTTGTTGAGCCTTTGTTTGACTCGATTCGAGAAAAACACAACCCAGTCTTTGTGTTTACGCCCGAACGTCAACAGGCTTTTGAACTATTAAAAGAACGGCTGATTACTGCACCTATAGTCACTTATCCTAACTTTGACTACCCGTTTATGTTACAGTTGGATGCCTGTGACTATGGTCTTGGTGCTGTTCTCGCCCAAAATATTGAGCGCAAGGAACATGTAATAGCTTATGCCAGTTTGCAGCCCTGTGAAAGAAAGTATTCAGCGCCTGAACGTGAGTGCTTAGCCATTGTTTGGGGTACGCAGCATTTCAGACCCTATCTTGAAGGACGACCATTCGAAGTTTGGACGGATCATCGATCTTTGCAATGGCTGAGAAACATAAAAGATCCTACGAGTCGTCTAGCAAGATGGGCTATGAAACTCGATGCCTACGACATGGTTATTAAACACCGTCCTGGTAAAGCCAATTCTAATACCGATACTCTTTCCAGATACCTTTAAAATCTGAGATCGTAGCGGTCCTACAAACGAATGGCATTTTTATCGGTCCTCTAGTAGAAAATCAAGAAGTTGCTGTTAATCTTTGGGACCATTGTAATATTTTGGATGATATAAAGTTGGCTCAACGCCAAGACAAAAACTACAGCCCTATTATCTCATTTATTCAGGATGATATTCAGCCTGATGATGAAGTTTTACATCGAAACCTCGAAAATCTTGTCAAAACCCATAGAGTTATTGATGGGAAGTTATACAGGATCCGAAAATTTGAAGAAAATTCTCCTCTTAAAAACAATCTTAGCCCGCATCTTCTAGTTGTTCCTAAATCAAAACGTCTTGAGATTCTTAAATTAGCCCATGATCATCCACTTTCAGGCCATCTCGGACGCCGAAAAACCCTGCATCGACTATCGATTCGCTTCTTTTGGGAAGGTATGAGACGCGACGTTGCGCAATATGTAAGGTCTTGCGACCTATGTCAGCGTTTTAAGGCTGCAAATGAAAAGAAGGCTGGCTTAATGCAATCCCACGTAGTTCAGTCTCCGTGGAATACTATCGGAATCGATCTGACCGGTCCTCTGCCTAAAACTCCCCGAGGAAATACCTATATTTTAGTTGTTACCGACTATTTCACAAAATGGGTAGAACTTTTTCCTTTAGGAGGTATAAAATCGAAACAAATCGCACAAGTTTTGCATGACGAAGTCATATGCCGTCATGGTGTCCCCGTAAAAATAGTTTCTGATAATGGAGCGCAATTTGTTGCAGAGATTTTTCGAGAAACTTTAAAAATCATGGGCATTCGACATCGAACAACCGCTCTTTATCATCCTCAATCCAACCTATCTGAGCGTGTTAATAGAACACTAAAGCCGATGTTGGCTATTTTTGCTCAAAATGATAAGGAATCTTGGGATATTCGATTGCCACAGCTAGCGTTAGCCATTCGAGCAGCCATAAATGAATCGACAGGTCAAACTCCTGCATTTTTAATGTATGGGCGGGAACTTAAATTGCCTCTTGACTTAATGTATGGTCCAGAAGTTGATGTTCTTGATGAATTAAGATCATCCGATGAAGTACGAGCCTATACAGAACGTCTGAAAGCAATTTTAGAGTCTGCGCATGAATCGGCTTAAGAAAATCTTGAAATAGCTCGAGAAAATCAAAAATCATCCTACGATTTACATCGTAAAAATGTACAATTTGCCGTAGGCGAGAAGGTTTTGATGGCAAATACCGCTGGTTCCGCTTTAGGTAAATGGGCGACGCCTAAGCTGGCTGCTAAATTCGTTGGTCCTTATCGTATCTCGAGAAAAGTCGGTCCTCTAGATTATAAGCTAATATCTGAAGATGATGGCGCTGTTTTAAGTCCGATTCACGTTGAACGACTTCGACCATATCATGAACAGAGTTCTCTAATCTGAAATCACTGGTCTCTGGTCTTTCATTGTACATATATTGCCTTATTTATAGCTGTTTCTAGTTTTCATTTTAAAACTTTTGCTTCTAATTGTTCTAGTTGCAGTGTGCAACTCCGTTTTGCAGCATTAGTGATCATTCTATTCCTTCCTATTCTATTTTCACACTATTTTATCTCGATCGATTCAGAAAAATATTTACATCAACAAAACGTTTGAGAAACACACTTTTCTAGTAAATCTTCTTTACAACAACAGAAAAAGGAAAGTGATATATGTGCAAGACGATAGTATAGCTGTATGTAAAAGAATGAGGAGAAAAGTGTAATGAGGATGATCTTGTATGGTTGTTATTCATATTCATTCTGGAAAGAAAAGAGAAAATTTAGTTTTCATTCCATACCTTTATGCAGAGAACTCGAAAACAAATTTTAACTTATAGTCTGTGCGTACTGAAATGGCAGAAATGGGCCATTTTTAGAGTTGAGTTATATTAACGCAACTTAACAAAAAGTGAACGTTGTGTAATTTTAAGACAACTATTTTTCTAATAATATTAATAGGACGTATAGAAGAGTGAGAGAGCAAGAGGTGAAAATAAAATTATTTAGAAAGAAAAAAAGTCTATTCGAAGTATTGATTGGCATGTTCGTTCAGATTTGTGAACTTCGAAAGTTCCTTCTTTTCCTCGTCTCCATTCTCAACCATAGAGTGACGAAGATTCGGACGGAGAGAGAAAACACTAACTTTTTCCAAGTTTTTCAGGTATTTTACCGCAACTTTTTTTGTTTTCTTCTCCCTCTGCAACACGTTTATCTCGACCGTTTCAGTGTGGAGGTTGGAAGTTTTGATGTTTTGCAATTATCTGTGCAAAAATGTGTAAATCATTATGAAAATGCAATCAATTAGAATAAAAGTATAGTGAAGAGAAATATCTTCAGACTTCTTCTCCTCTTTCTCTTCTATAATCCAAACAATATTTAGGAAAAATTATTTAAACAAAAACGGGTAGAAAGCTAGAGATTATAGGTACGACTACAAAAGGTCACAGCGACTTTTCATCTTCATTCCTGGATGAAAGTCGTAAGGTCATAAATTATTGCTCACTAATCTAACCTAACATTCAGCTACCATAGACTATCCGATAGTTTCTCAGCTACAATTGCTGTCGATTTTCTATTATTCATGGAACCTGGCCAGGGTTTGATGACAACTATGCAACTTTTATCCTGTTGACCGACCCGCGTGTCGTATTTACTTAATTTCTCGGCTAAACTTCACCTTGCATAGATGTTTCTTTGCCATCTAAATGATCTCCACCATCGTCATCAATATTATCATATTCACTAATTGAGATAAATTGTTGTTGATGATGTGGTTGGGAATGATGCAGTCATTTTTCAAAAAGTTAAGAGTTTTGAGAGTGATGGCAGTCAAACTTTTGAATGAAACAAAGTTATCGGAATACTTTTCTAATATTACGATCTAGATAAAATCGCGGTTCTTTCTTTCTTTTTAATGAAAACACGGAAATTTAACATCAGAAATTTCTTGCGAAAATCTGTAATTGATATCTTTCATTTCGAATTTACAAACAAGTATTGTTTTCAATCGTTTTATTCTTTTCTTTTCTCTTTCAAATGAACTAATTATCTACACTTAGAAGATCGAAAAACAACAAAAACATTCACACACTCGCGCCAACTCACTCTCTCACACACAGACAAAGACAAGAAAAACATATATTTAAAGCAACACAGAACAACCAAAAGGAACTGAAAAATTTATAGATCCGTAGCACAGTGGTTTAGTGCAAAGAAAGTGAATTTTTACGTCGCCGGTTCGAATCCTGCACGGATCTTTTTGATTTTTTTCCCAAAATTTTTTTCCACAGAAATCGGAAGGACCCATTTGAGATAAATATGGCGTACCACTAAATCGACCATGGGCTACACGATCCCGCAAAAATTTCTCTGGCAACCCCCTTGGGAAAAAGGCGCCAAATTTTGATATGTATAATTTTGGCCACTACTGTAATAGAACGGATAAAATCAATTAAATAGGGCTATGACTGTTTTTGACATTGTTTTTTTTATAGCAGAATTGATAAAAACTGTTTGCTAGTTTTTATTTATTTAGAAAAGTTAAGTGAAGTAGGAATTCATGTTATTTGTGGAGCAATATTGCTATTACGATCACCAATTGTGTCCACAAGTGATATCACAAACGTTGCGAAACGCTATAGTACAAATGCAGTTCAAAATCGTAACTTGGCTATCAAAATTTTGGAACAGCAACGTTTACTTGGGAGTGGAATGTACTATGGTAAGAAAAGCAGGGTTAATAATCGTGTAACAACATCAGTTGGTTTTGCGAAATTATTTCCAACGACAAATTCGGTTTTCGAACAAGAAAAATTTAGTAAACATTTAGCTGAATATAAGTTGAAATTACCGCAATATTTAAATTATTGTAAAAAATATAAACAAGCTAAATTACCAGCCCAACATGGCTTTAGTGAGCTGGCTGAAAGATTATTTGAATCAGCTGACTATGGGGATTATGTTAAATATGATAAAACAAAAGTTTTACATCCAGTAGCAACATCTTTATCGGAAAATTTCACTGAAAAAGGTAAGAATGGTAAAACTTGGTTGACTTTTATATTAATATATGTACTAGTTATATATTATATTTAACTTCAGTTAATGATAGATTTCTACCTCGAAAGAAACGAAACAGAGAATCAAATCGAGAAACAGCCTCATCGCCACAGTCAGTTAAAAGACAACGAAAATCACCAGTAATTGCACAACAAAGGTAATAGTAAATTACTTATAATCAAGTCTGATAGTAACTTTTTTGTTTATTGTTTTGATTATTTCTTGATTATTACGATTTTGGCCACGTTTTTGTTTCGTTTTTCTTGTATCAATATCTTCTCTTTTATGAGCTCTCAGTTTCTCTATTTTTCCTCGTAACTGCGACCATCGTAAAAAATAAAGGTCGCGAAGGTGAACTTTCAACAGCTTTGAATTGTCTAAAACAATTGCCAAAAATCCCATTTCATTCGACGTACGTAGCCATCGATGAATAATCGACAATACGTGCTTATTCTCGTGATACATTTCTATGACCAGAAGCTTACAGTCAATGGAATAACAATAAATATAACAATTTTGCTTCTTTTCAAAGCTGTCACTTGTTTTTGTTGAAGTTCAAAAGATGTGTATATTTAAACTTTATTCAAAATGACGCTGATCTTAAATCGGCTTCTTGCTAAGCAACTCGACGAGCTCTGCCCATCATGCCAAAAACGAAAAACGATCATGCTATCTTTTTCAGTAGCCGGCATCTTAACTAATATATTTCCGTACTGTTCTTAAGTAAGAGCAAAATTTATGAAACCTCAGTAATTTTCCTAGCCAAGTTACGATTTTGAACTACATTTGTACTGCAGCGTTTCGACACGTTTGTGATATCACTTGTGGACACAATTGGTGACCGTAATAGCAATATTGCTTCACAAATAACATCAATTCCTACTTCACTTAACTATTCTATATAAAGTCAACAGTTTTTATCAATTCTGCTATAAAAAAAACAATGTCGAAAACAGTCATAGTCCTATTTAATTCATTTTGTCCTTTCTATTAGAACTACTGCTTTTCATATTCTTGATAGCACCTTTTAGTTTGTAACTTTTACCTGCTGATTCTTCATCTAATGCTTGCTCATTATCACCCATTACTCGTCCCTCAAATGTCTGTTCTTCTACATTAATAGTTGTTGCAGGTTGATCAACAATTGTTGTCTGACCATTTGCAGTATCTCTCAATTGGTAGTTAACTAGGTACATACAACAACAAAAGAAGTGTGTATGATGAACGTGTAAACTACTATCCGTCACAAAGATAAGTTACAAGGCAATTGATTATTTCTGGAATACCTCAATCACACTGATAGATAGCGAGCTGCGATTTTCACCCTTGTGTTGCTAATACCCTAAGACATGTTTTTGTAACAGTAGTGGGCGAGAAATCGTCAAACCGAAATTATGTTCGTCCCACGAGAATTTTGCTACGAAACTAGCAGAAGTTACCTCTGAGTGGTGGAGATACGGCGATGTATCAATTTTGCCTTTTGCGTCAGTCCCTCGTGCGAACTACCCTCCCTTGCATGAGAATCATCCTCAAGCAATAAAATATCAGAATTTTGTACATCTTCATAGAAACTCTTTTGCTCAGATCACCAGAATAATGCAGATAGTCTAGAACGAATAATGCTCTCTTCACGAGAATTTTTTTTATGTCGTCAAAGAAAGTTGATTGTCTGGGTCACGAGAATATTGTTTATACACGAGGACTATGCTGTTTTGTGTGAGAATTATGGTGTCTTCACTAGAATTTTCACGGTGCATTTTTCTCGTTGGAGTAACATAATAGCGGTTTCTTGATTTCTCTCCCGCCCCTCCAACTTTAGTGTGTAGCAAACCGACCTCCAATGACAACTTTAGATCGGTTAAAGGAGATGAATACAAGTGAATAACTTTCAACGACGTGAAAAATCTTTGGAAAATAGCAGTAACGGTCGGAAAAATTATATTTCCTCGCAGGAACTGTTTTAAAACTAGTGCTTTTAATATTACTATAGGTCCCGATCAGAGATGCAACCGATCAACAAAATCATAACCGGTACCGGCCAGTCACCGGTTACCGGTGAACATATGCAGACCGGACCGGACCGACCGGTTGACCGGTCATTCTTATAAAAATTTTGACCGGTAGGCAACCGGTACTGACGTTTGAGTGCGAGAGAAATGTTTAAATCT